GTGAGCTTAGACAGGCTGGGACCTCAGAATATTTTTGCATTTGCCTCTGAGCTGTGTTCCCTAAAGGGACTCAATGGTTGTGTTTTGAATTAACTGAATAATTGAATTCACTGAATTATTGAAAACTGTGGAAATTGTGTGGTAATCTCAAACATATTATAAGAAAAATTAATATAATCCTTTGATTGCCTAAAGCTGTATGGTGTTCACACACCAGAAAAAAGAAAGGGAAAGAACACCTCTTCTTTTGAACCAGACTTTAGTGGTCCCGGTTGACTCTGCTATCCCAGCAATCACCTTTACATCGCAAAACCAATTCTAGAATTCTTTATATTGCTGTCAAGGCCTCCCACTTTAATAAGCTAAGTAGGTTTTCTTTGTGGAGCAGCCTAGCTCTGTTCATACATGATCCCAATTATCTGTTGTCAGATGGAATTCATTTCATGCAGGTTCCAGGCAGCGGCCACACTGCCCTTGGAGGGAGGCTAGAGCAGAGGATGAAGTCTGGGAAACCCGGCAAGCCATCCCTAGTCTTCCCCATTTTGGTCACTCCTTGCCTGGGACTGCATGGGCTACTTCCTCATTTTAACTTTTTTTTTTTTTTTTTTTTTAAGATTTTATTTATTTATTTGACAGACAGAGATCACAAGTATGCAGAGAGGCAGGCAGAGAGAGGAGGAAGCAGGCTCACTGCTGATGCGGGGCTGGATCCCAGGACCCTGGGATCATGACCTGAGCTGAAGGCAGAGGTTTTAACCCACTGAACCACCCAGGCACCACTGCTTCCTCATTTTCAAAGGAAGGATGTTGGATTGCCTGTTTTAGTGCCCTCATTTTGTGTCAGATAGTGGCTGATGCCAGTCATTAGAAGGTCTATTTTAGAGATGGAACAGGGGAAACCAAGATAATTTTTTAAATGCCTGTCTGTAAAAGAGGTTAGCTGTAATTGCATTTAGATTGTTAACAAATCCTCAGTAATTAGGCAGGTTGCTTGGTTTTGTTGTTGTTGTTTTTTTAGAAAGTTGTATTTTTTAAAAGTAAAGAAATTTTGCTTCTATGACATTGTGATAAGGGGATGTCACGTGGCAACCTAAGTGAAATTTTGGTTTCCTCAGATGGCAAACACTGCCATTTTCTCATTTTAGATGGCTTATTTTTAAAGCCTTAAATACATTCTCTGTTTCAGTCATTACGGAGTTATTTCAATAGCTAATTAAAAATTCTCCTACCAAACCATCATGAATGAGATCCTAAGGAGAGAGAGCTGTTGCTCCTTTTCAAGGAGAGGGAGATGTATGATCCACATCAGTTTATTGTCTGTTTTCCCAACAAAGCAAAACGTATTAGTCACTCAGTTATATAGAAGCTCTGAAAACTCCAGAGAAATTTGATTGATACGTTATTAGAACTCAAAATATCCAGGTTTAAAAATGATTAAAGCTAATATCAGAAATGAATTGGTATATTGCTTACTCTATTACATATAACAAAATGGGTAAAAGCCATTTGAATTTCAGAGCTGACTAAATGGCCTCAGTAGTTTCAAATTTATTTTAAAGACAGATATAGATTTAAGCAATATAATTCATCTTTTTTGGTATTGGCAGTGTAAGAGATTCCACCTACTTTTTTTCTCCTCTGGAAGTGTCTTAGTCCTGGTTCCTACTAGCTTAGGGGAAAAGGAACAATTAGTTGTAAGGGCACCAGGGTATCTGAGAAACCTTATTAAGTTATTGGAAGTAAGGACTAAAAAGCCATTAGGAATAAGGAAGCACCTGCCTTCTCCTCCTCACCCTCCTGCCCTCCATTCTTCTCTGCATGGCAGCTGCGTTGGAGATCCTCAAGACAGCCTCCCTCCCCTGCCCAGGGGTGATGACTCAGCAGGAGGAGCGATAGCCCTCAAAATATAGTCGTATTGATGGCTGTGGCTTATTATGAAGAATACATACAAAGCAAAATCAGTACAAGAAAAAGGTGCATGGGCGAAGTCCAGAGGAAACCAGGCACAGGCTTCCAAGAGTCCTCTCCAGCTAGAATCATGCAGGATGCACTAAGTTTCCCCAGTGATAGTCCGTGATATGCGCCAGCCAGGGAAGCTCCTTAGAGACCCAGAGCCCAGGATTTTCCCTGAGGACTGGTTAAATAGGCAAACTCTGCCAATAGGTACCAAAATTAGATTCCCAGGAGGGAAGCAGGTGTTTAGCATAAACTGTATTGTTTGCACAATGTAAGTACAGCGAGCCACTTTTATCGGTTAGGGAATGGTAGGAACCCTCCCCAAATCCATATTCCCAGACATCAACCCAGGGCCTCCCTTGCAAACAGGCCATTTCAGGGATGGCAGTCAGACCTTCTGTGTTAACTGTTTTCTGCATAGAAGGAGATGCACTTCATCCCAGCCACCCCATATCTTCAGATGAGGTGCTAGCAGTGAGGAACTAGCATCTCCAGATTCCTAAGAGAGAGAATTCACCCTGTTAGGAATGGGTATCTACTTGGATCCAGGCAGTTACGGTCGGGGTCCCCTAGTATAAGCATGAATGTTGGAATTGTTTTTGTTTGTGTCGGGACTGGCAGTGGTTTGGGGATTCAGGAGACACTCCACAAGGAAGTCAGTCATAGGGATGCATGTGTGGAAAAGCCTTTCAGATACCATGTAGACAAAGGCCTGCTTAGGAGTGTCATTACACAATAATAAAGAATACAAAATAATCCCATGAACCCAGACTTCAGATTAGAATCAGCAGACTCAGTTGATCTAAGTGAAATAGGATAAGGTAGAGGTATTCACTGTATAAAAACAGTGAGTGCCTAAGATACTCTGTAATAGGTTTGGATACCTTATCCTTAGGTATTTTATAATGTCTTAGGGAATTTTGTTTTTTACTCTTTAATTGGAACCATTGGGCTTCATGGAAATGGCCTGATTTTTCCCTGAGACTTAGTTTTGTAGGAGAGGTACAAGAATGGTATACTTGTTTTGGGTGGTTTGTCTTTATTTTTTTTTGTTACAAACTTTCTTATTAAAACTTTCAGTCCATACTATTGAAGATTCTGATTTTCAACCCTCTCCTTCTATTTCTGAATAATGCTTATTTTTTCAGTAGTACCCATATATAAGAACTTTTAATATTCTTTGAGGCATGGATATATTTTATCTGTTGGAGGTTGGGTGATATGGGGCATTAAGGTGACCTTGGAGGCAGTTCCCATAATTGGGAGACACAAAGCCTCTGCACAAACCTATTTCTGGGATGTTCTAGGAAGGACTGTCACCTACAGAATTTGCTAGAAATCCTGTGAGATCTACTGCCTGTGTAGAAAGTGTTTCCAGATCCCTTCAGGCAATGGGAAACCAGCATGGAAATGTCATCGTACTCCCATGTGGTAGAGCAACCTTGAATAGATGCATGATAATTCAGTATTGAATTAATTTAAGGAAAAGATGCACGGGCGCACACACACATATGCACAGAATACGTGCATGCACGCAAACTACGTATGCCAGGAAGTTAAAACCCAGTGCTTCTGCCAGACCCTCATTTTTCTTTTGTTGTGGTTCACATGTGGATGATGCTTATTTGGAATTAGGTCAAAAGAAATCTTGCATCCTCCACAGTGTGAATAGCAGACACAGTCTGCTGCTGTTTTATGTGCCTTTGGTGGGTGCTGGTCTGGCCTTCAGCGTGGCTAGGCGGCCCCCAGTCTGTGTGCAGTCCATGTGGCCTGCAGCTGAATCCATCTGATGACCAGGTGGAGGCACCTTCTCTCAGCAGTATCCTCAGGCTGGTTTTTGCTTTGTACCTCAACCATCTCTGAGATAGCAAGAGGGGCAGCTTTCATTCCAGAGATGGTAAGACTTCTAAGGAAAAGCAAAATGTTTCCTTGTGAATTGAAGAACAGAACGTAAACTTAGGAAAACGTTTCCCTAGCCCCTCAGTCAGATCAGCTGGAGGGCTTTTGAAAACTGTTGAATCTGCCTTGGGTCATGGACTGCCGAGAAAAGAAGTCCTCCTCAGAGGAGCTCGATTTTTATGCTGTTTGTATGTTTAGGATACCCTGAGGTAGCATTAGTGATTCCTGGGGACCGAGGATGTCATCTCCTTGAAACCTATCCTTCATATCTTCTACAGTGACCTACTTGATAAACGTGTCAGCTGACTAGTATGTACCCTCAAAAGTGAGTGTTCAGGAAAAAAGAGGCAAAACTCAATGATATTAGGGTATTTCAATAATGCTCTGGGTTCCCTGTCACTCTTCTACATCTTTGGGGCTAAGGACACCTGTTTTGGGAAACACGAAGGTCTGGTGTGGGAAAGGCTGAGCCATGATGCAGACAGTAATAGAAGTCGTAGACAGGGCAGTATTTTTTATTATGAGTCCTACCAGCCTTCATGAGCGGGAGAAGGTACAGCAGATGCCCCCCTGGAAGGGCTCCTGGACAGCAGAAGCCTGGTTTTATTCATTAGCACCCAGCCTGGAGCATAATCGGTTTCTGCAGTGAATAACACTTCTGATGTACATTACCTGTCTTGTGTCTTCATGTGTTATTGTTTTTTTTTAAAAAATATTTCAATGTCAATATATTAACACATTGTTATATTTTTATATTTCACCCGTCCCTTTGTGGGGCAGGTGGGGTTAGAAATAAATAGTCTTATTATTGGTTAATCATTCTAAATTAATGGCTGCATCCAAGTTCTATGAAATCACCATGTAATGTACTTTTTAGTTATTGGAAAGCTGTTACGCTCTGTTAATCGTGGGGGCAGTTGTTTTGTTAGGGTGCTGTAACTTAAGTAGGTGTGTATTTTGCTTTGTTAGCCAAGTTTGGATCCTCACTGTGCAGCTCATGTAGTCTTAAATATGGTAATGGAGCATCTGGGGGCATTGGTTGGTGGAAGGATGGGGCCATGACACCAGAGGCCCAGTCCTAAGCAACCTGCAGGGGGTTGGCGTGCTGGCGTGTAACATTTCTGTTGCATCTTTTGTTTTCACAGTGAGAGAAAAACGCAAGAGTCTCTTCATTAACCATGTAAGTGAAGCTGTCTCCTTGTGTTCTTCATAATGATGATACTGTGTAATCACCATGTCTGGAGTAGGTACAGTGGTTCACGTTATTTTGTCAAGACGTGGAAGAATGTAAAGAATGCTGTGATGTACTTATGCTCAGTTTGCTTTGTGATTGGACAAGCTTGGCTTGGTATTTCCACTGTCCGAAGTGTTTTTCCCGGGAAACCCACACTGCTCCTGTTCATGGGAAGGCGTGTGTGAACAGTACCACAGCACACACTACAGGTCCAAATGAAAGCCGCTTTTAAATTTCTCATTCTTTCCTTCTCCTACCCCACCCCCAAATTACTGTTTTTCTCCTTGTAGCTCACTTCTATACTTGTTTCTGTGAGGTTATCTGCCTCCACACACTCTTGCTTCTTTCTCTTTAATTGGTATTTATAGGTCCAGTAGAGTCTCTTTATTCTTTGGGCGCTCATGAAAAGAATAAACTTGATAACACTTTAGTTTTAAAAGGATTTGAAAAATTCAGCTCTAGGCTTTTGGCCAGTTCTAAGCAGTGTCTCTATCCCCTGCTGGCTGGGCATAAAGTGTCTCTTGGAGATACTTTGTTGTTCTTCCTTGAGCAACAGGGACAGCTGGATGGCTCCATCTTTGCTCTGTCCGCCCTCCCACCAACACCTCCCCACCCCATGGCACCCCAACTTGCACGCCTCAGGAGTGTGGAGACCTGCCACTTTGCTCTCCCTCTCAATATATGCCTCTTCATTTAGGAAAGAAAATTGTCTCCGTGAGGTACGGAAGGATGAAGTAGGTGAATTGCCAAAATAAGTATGCTATAAATTCTCATATTGAAAAGAAGAATGATGTATTTGACCTTACAGGGGTTTTTCTGAGAATTTCTAGACTGTCTGCCTTTAAGTATTTGTGGATTTTGAAATATTTGGCACTGAAGCTGTGTTGAAGAGACTTAAAGCTATAATATTGCCTTCCCTGCCCTTTGGAAATCTGGACAAAATGCAATTGAAAAGAAATTCAGAAGCCGGACCCACACTCTCAAAGGGGCTCCATGCTTGGCCCTTAGGAGATCGGTAGTATCTTCTTAGGCAGAGTCCGTATATACATGCCTGTGCGGTGTGTGAAGGGCCAGAGAGAGGGGTCTTTAGTTTTTATTGTATTCTTAAACCATTTGTGACCTCTTCCCTGGCCGTCTCAAATTTTGAAGCATCACTGTATAAAGCATCTGTGAAATTAAAATTTATGTCACAAGGGAAACATACACCTTATTTTAAAAGGCAGTATATACCTAGACACAAAAATTTGAGTGATTTGAGCTAATTTTATAAATCCTTACTTTTCATTTCTTTGCCTGCGGGACGCTCTCGCGTACTTTCTGACTCATTAGCGCATCTGACGAGGAACTTGCAAGGAAGAGAGAAGAGCTGAAACTGCAGACAGCTTACCTTTCCTGGTCATTGCAGCTCTAGTAAAGGCATTTTGAAGAAAGAGGAGGCTAGGAATTCGTCCGTGTCAGCTGTTGTGATTGTACTTAATGAGATAGAGATGTACTCTCCTCGTGCTAACGTGCAGATGTGTTTGTATAATTTCTCCCACCTAACCTCACACTTTGTGTTGTGCACAGTCCTGGCACACACTGAGTACATATCTCTTGGACTGAGAATATGGATTAGACAGTTGTTGAAATCTGCTCTTTGTACTTGTTCCTACATAGAGAACATCTCCGTGCTGTCTTCCATAACAGATGACTGTGTAACAGCGTGACCCTCCAGTTGGTGAACAGACCTCGTTGCCAAATAGCATATTGGTTCTGGCTCTGCTGGGAAGAGCCATTGGAATGTGCCATTCCAACCAACTGGAATATAATTTGAGCGAAATTACTGCAGATTCAATTAGGCTAATAAACCAACTGTGCTTTTCAGGTTTTGAGACACTGGGGAGTTACAAGTTAGAGCACTAGACAGATCAGGAGCAGCAACTGAGTACTTTACCATGTCTCTTGAGTACTTTACCATGTTTCTGCCAGGGTCTGTTCTAATTGATTGAACCTACTTAGTAACCATTCTGGGCAGGCACAATTTATACTTTCCATTTTATGGTTGAGGAAGGCGAGGCACAAAGAAGTTAGCCAAATAAATAGTGGACCCAGGATTGGGAACCAGGTGGTCTGGCCCCAGAACTCCCTCTTAGCTCTCATCCTGTATGTTTCTCAGAGGATGATGCCAGTTGCCATTTAGATGGAAGTTGTTAAGCTTAGTTATCTAAAGTTAGAGATGACATTTATAATTAAATTTTTATACGCTCTTTTGTAGGACTCATTTCTGATTAGGGTCCCTAACTGAAGGTTGTTGAACTGTGGAATGATGGTTATTCTTTGCCCTTGCTTATAAAACCTCTTTATTTTTTATTTGTTTTACTGTGAGGGATGTTGTTTCTTTAATTTCTCTTTCACGTTTCTGAAGAACCTACTTAGTGCATGTTGCTAGGATAATCTACGAAGAGGCTACTGCTGAACAACAAGGAAAGCAGTGGCTGTAGATAAGCCATTTTTAGAACAGCAGGGGTGGTCAGCTCTACTCCGGGCAATGATGACTGTGGGGAAATAGCTTCCACTAGTTGGAGGGAAATTAGGCTTTTCTAGCTTCCAGGTAGCAATACCTTAGCAAGTAAGGAGTAGACTTTGGGAATATCATGCAGGGAAGAGATCAGTTGAGAATGGACCACCACCCAGGCCACCCAGGCTGGAAAAGAGATGGGCCTTTAACTGACTCAGAAGAGCCAAGACAGACATAAAAGATTAAGTAAAAGGAGGCTGTTTCTGAAAGAATTATTTTAGGCTTTAAAGCTTGAAACCATTTGAAGATAAACCTCTCTACGTATTTTGATAGTTAAGTCAGGGTGAATTTTAAAGATTAATATTCTACTCAGCATCTATCTGTGTTTTAGATGTAATTAGCATTAACAGTTGTAGGGAAATATAGTACATTATGAAAGACACTTAGGTTTTTAAAAGAGGGTTGCGTTAAGAGCTTTGTTTAAAGTGTGTTCTTTATTCAACATTTGCTAAAGTTTTGGCTTTGCTTTTTCTTTAAGGTTAGTTATTTTAATGAATCTTTTAATTAAAATGTTAAGATCTCTCTCATAATTGTGAGTGGCCTTGCAGGTGTCTGGAGTCTAGAATCACTCTTGAAACTGAGGGAAAACTTACATCTTTTACTTCGGCCTAATTTTTCTGTGACATCCTCTTGCCACTTGGTGACAGCATACCTTAAGTGAATTGATCATTCTAAGAAGTTAAAAAGAAGAGAAATTTAAAAAAAAAAAGTATCAGAAGTTGAATGGCTGGACTATTTTAGTCTCATGAAAAACAATTATAGTATTTATCTTAATAATGAGATAGATGATAGTTCCAGAAACTGTGAAAGAATAAAGTAACTATAGGGTATTACATATCAGTTGAGCAATAGTCACACTGTTAGCTGGACTTAGAGCCAAAAGGATTTCCTCAAGCACCTGATGATTTGGGGACCTTGAAAAACTCTGGAAGTCACAGTTCTCCTGTCTTATAGAATATAGGGCATAATTCCTGGCCTACCTGACTCAAATGTTATAATGGAAAAGAAGGTGATTTGCAAACTAACTGTAACACCATATACATATGTCAGTGTTATTACTATTACTGCCTCTTGGGATATAGACAAATTCTGTTTAATTTTCCAAGTTCAGTACCAAAACTGATGAAAGCCTTTCTGGTATTTTAATTTTGGATACAGTGTTTTCATAATTGTAAGGATCAGGGTGGAATACATTCTCTTCAGCTTTGTTTGGGGATGCTGCTGTGTAGAGAGTTGATGGTCTTCTTAAATAGTTAAATTCTGAATTGATTTCTGCCATCTAGTGTTGAGTGGGATAGGAGTAGATTCCTTCTCAAACGGTGTCTATTCGGTTATCATCTCCATCTGTTAAGCCATAAAAGTCCAAGAATGAGGAGTGAATTTGATCCAGGAACTGAAATTTAAAAAATTCTAAAACTTGCTTTGCCTCTTTGGGAAATTGCTCGTAATAGGACACAAATTTATTGAGTAAATGCTATGTTAGCATCAATACAATATGCTTGGACAGTGTGAAGAAAGCTTCACTAAGATTTTAATCTCAGTAAGATTTTAAAAGTTCAGGAAGATTAAAAGATCCAACCTATATTTTGAAATAATTTCAAATTTATAGGAAAGTTGTAGTAATACAAGCGTATAGGATTTTCACAGCTCACTAAGGGAACCTTAGTTAACTCTGGTTCTCACACACTCACTCTGCTTGACACAGGATATTGAAAGAGGGGGCACACTTTGTTATTTTATCTCAGTTTTTTTTTTTTTTAAGAGTATCAAGAAATGATAATGGTGTACACACTGATAATGTTGATACAGGTGAGAAGTTGGTATAAGGTGTCAGGTCCTCGAGGGTCTTGGTTATGTCTATGAAACACTTGTTTCTTTCCTATTTCCTCCTCACCCACCCTTCCCTTTCTTCATTCGGTCACTCATTACGTGCACAAATAAAGGGTGGCTGGTAAAATGTGATGGGGTCTGCAAATACAGGATAACTAACAGGTGAAACTGCTTCTCTGGTGCCTTCACAGGTCATTTTGAGAACTACATTATCCTTGTTAAGACACACAAGTGAAGGAGTCACTGAACCAGTGTTAGGATTTGTCCTAGAAAATTCAGGGCAATAATGTCGGTTGGGAGTTGCCCTGTTTGAAACCCTGGTCTTTGTATATGCTGTTAAGATCTCATCTGTGAATAAGCCAGCACAAATTCTTGACCATGGCTGCCTGTTTTTCACATTGTTTAGACACTCCTGTAGGGGTGGAAGGAGCTGTTCTTACATGATTTCAGTCTGTGACTTCCCAGTTCCTTTGTTGTCATTTACTAAGGGTAGATGGGGCATAGCTGTTCCTTATGTAAGTTGGACAGGCACCCTCTTTACTACTACCATTTTATTTTT